AACTAGTTGTTATTGTTGTGGAAGGTGTTGTTGTTGTTGTTGTTGTTGTCGTTATGATTGTAGACGAAGATAAAGGTGTTTGAAGATTACCACAACGAACAGTAAGTGGTAGAGCTTGTTGATTAATATCTCGTTCACATATAAACGCTTGTAATTCTTGACATGATCTTGTAAACCAACCATCTTGAGTACGTAAAATACATTTTCCATCTTCGAATGCTGATCTCCATGGCCACCATGAACGAACTATATAGGAAAAAACACAAAATGAATTTTTTTGTATTTCTTAGAACTATTATTTTTCTTACCATTATTTTTATTTTTTTTATCTGATATCCAAAATGATGTTTGTTGTTGATTTGTTGAAAGAAAATATGCTAATTTTTTTTCTTCAACAATATCATTAATATAAATTAAACGTGAACCCATTGATAAACATTTTTCTTGTGCATGATGCCAACTTTGTTGTTCATAAAAGATTTTTAAACATTTTGAACCGAGAGAATATTCATCTTTATTACATTGATAATAACCTAAATATATAATGAATTTTATTAGGATATGTAATAAATATATATGTATATTTACCATGTAAACGAATCCAAAATCCTGACTGACTCAATGTTTCATCAGTTGTAAATTGAAGTCGAAGAGAATTAATTTCATTAAATATAGAAGCACCAAAAGGAAGTGTGCCAGATAAAGGTAAAGATTTTGTTGATGATAAATAATCATTATCTTGTAAATTAAATGAAAGACTCTAAATAATAAAACAACAATAAAATTTGCTTTTTTCGAATGAATAAATTTTGTTACCTCAACATCAATAACTATTGGTAAGGATTGTTTATTAATTTCTGTTGGTTCTATTAAACATGTACAATTAACATTATTTGGATATTCATTCGGAAATGATGGACTTATAAGATTAAGACCATTTACTGATGTCATACTACGCCTTGAACATACATCAACAATTGTTGAATCTATAGAAGAAAAGAAAAACATGATGAATTATTCTTTTTTGAGCTTCTAGCGTTATTCTTACTATTAATACATTGATAAGATATAAATAAATATGTCGCTTCATCTGAACATTTATGAATAAATTGTTGAGTGAGAATAACTTCACATTGTGATGCACCATTACAAAGTTCAGCTATTTTATGTGTATAATCCATAATACAATCAGTTTCAGATGGTTCACATCTAAATTGTTAATCGTATTATAGCAATCTTCTATTTAAATAATGTATATCTACCGTTGTGGATCTTGTTTGTTACTTCCAGATTTTTTTGTACCATAATGTGACCAACCAATAAGAATAAATTCATTTGGATTGCAACTAATATCCATATGATTAGCAAATTCTTTTTGTGTACATTGTGATTTTGAATGCCATTCATCGGATAATGATGAATAGGATAATAATGGTGAAACTGAAAAAAATAAATTAAATATATTTTATTTAAAAATAAAAAAAACATACCGATAAGAATAAATAAAACGAACATTATTAACATTTTAATATTGTTCTATGCATAAAGATACATGTTATTATTGTTGTTCGATAAATAAGTAAGGCATCGTTTTTTTTTCATATATCTGAAATAAGAATAATACATATTTATATACATATGTTTAACCTCAGATTAAGAATGCCGATGCCGCTATACTCTTATTCTTCTATCTATTTTTGACACATGTCAACGAGTAGAAGAAAAGAGAAGTGCAATGACATTCAGCCGATCGAATTTATTCATTGTCAATATTAGACTATGTTTGTTGCCGCATATACAAATATAAGAAAATAAATGAATGAATGAATTGATCATT